ACTCTACCACTTGAGCCACAGCGCCACTTCCGGCTTTTTTCTTTTTGTTTATGTGGTGCTGAGGAATCGAACCCAGGGCCTCATGCATGCAAGGCAAGCATTCTACCACTGAGCCAACTTCCCAGCCCCAGATCTCACCCTCTTGAGTAGCTAAAATTACAAGCATGAGTCATCAATACCTGGCTAACATTTACTTTTTTTTGGTCAGTTGTGGGTCTTGAACTATGGGCCTAGACACTATCCCTCAACTCTCCAGCTCAAGGTGAGCACTCTACTTCTGGTAGAAGTGGTAGAATAGCACCACTTCTGGTTTTCGGGTGGTTAAGTAGAGATAAGAGTCTCATGGACTTTCCTGCCCAGTCTGGCTTTGAACCAGTATCCTCAGATCTCAGCCTCCTGAGTAGCTTGGATTACAGGTGTGAGCCACTGATGCCTGGCTAACATTTACTTTTAAGTTACAAAATTTAAGTTTTAAATCCCTCCAACCTGTCCTTATATTTACATATAAATATTCTTCCAACTACATACTTATAGAATGCTGATTAAACATGTGATGCACATGAAAACAAGCTAGCTATCTGCTATTGATGGCTATGCAATTTGAGCAATTTTCCTTTCATCTTGAGTGTCCTTTATGGGTGCTGTTATCTTCCTTGGGACTAATTCCTCACATTTTAAGTTAGTTACTTTGCTGAGGTGTCTGACAGGGAGATGAAAGCTAAATGGCCTATATAAGCCTTATCCATGTCATGCTTTAATATGAACTTTCACAAATTTACAAGAAACTCCTTTCAAAAATGTACATTAAAAAAAATTTCAAGAAGCTAGCAAGACTACTCAATAAATATTTTTTCTTTTATTTATGCACATAGGATGGTCATAGCAAAATATTAAAAAAATATGTAAGAGTAAGCCATATCTACGTTATCAGTTTACTCACTCAGCATTTTTTTTTTTTTTTAACTCAGGGCCTGGGCACTGTCCCTGAGCTTCTTTTGCTCAAGGCTAGCACTCTACCATTTGAGCCACAGCACCACTTCTGGCTTTTTCTGTTTATGTGGTACTAAGGAACTGAACCCAGAGCTTCATGCATGCTAGACAAGAACTCTACCTCTATGCCACATTCCCAGTCCTCACTCAGAAAATTTTATGTGGATTAATCATTTCAAAACAAAGTCCACTTCTATTAACACATATCTAGGTAACCCAAGTGAGTATATGTTTATTTCTGACATCATAGTGTCTGAAATCACAGTATCTGCAGAATACCATTTTTAGAGATCTATATTACTTGGTGAAAACTACTTCAAACAAATGAATGTTTCATATTAAACATTTAGCATAAGATTAATTTTCATTCCTGCAACCATGAATCATGAGATGTAATTCAAGCTGGCAAGAGCAAGGCCCCAAGTTCAAACTCCAGTGCCACCAAAATAATTTAAAAACTTACACTGTGCTGAGGTAGTATTGGCTGGATATATAGTGAGTACTAATGAATAATTCTTACCTGTAATGTACATGTGTGACTGTTGGTTTCCTGTACCCAAGGATCCAGGTTTGAATATCGATAGGCTCAGCTTTGGGATAAGCTATGGTTGTATCTATTATCCACTGGAGGCCTTTTGATTTGCTCTCTGAGAACAAATAAAAACATGATTTAAGATTGGATCAAATTTTATGCTATCTAAGACAAACAATACAATATATCTTATTTGAGCAGCAAAAAGTTTATCAATATAACTTTTGCTTTAAAAAACAGAATTCTGGTTCTATAATGCACTTATGATTAAATTTAAAACTGTAAATTTTAAATTAAATATTTCTAGCCAGATGCTGGTGACTCATGCCTGTAATCTTAGTTACTCAGTAAGCTAAGATCTAAGGATTGAGACTTGAAGCCAGCCTAGGCTGAAAAGTCCATGAGATTCTTATCTTCAACTAAGTGAGAAGAGGTAGAATGACTCAAGTAGTAGATTGCCAGCCTTGAGTGAAAAAATCAAGCTAGAGCACCAGTTCAAGCCCCAGTACTAACAAAAAAATTAAACTAATTAAAATTTCTTATTAGAAAATGAACGAACTTCGAACAAATAATACAACACTATTATTTACTACATATGTACCATGAGAGTATTCCATATACTCATAGACTATTACTTATACTTATTATAATGTTGTATATTGTCACTATTATAAAAATGGCTATGAAGAAAAAGGTTAGAAGTTAAAGCATCATATCACAAAAATGAAAAAAGAGTTCTAATCAAAACCAAGCAATTCCCTAAATGAAATGTAATATAATACAAACACCAAAATCTGCAATGTTTAGGTGAAAGGGCAATAGAAACAAGCATTTGTAGACATTTCAGTCAGTCAGAAGCTCCTCCAATTTTAGCCTTCCTGTCCTTCAGAAGGAGTAAAAGTGCCGTCAGAGGGGTTGGGGAAATTCTATTTAGTCCTCTCCTTTGTAACTTAAAAGTGTAAGTAGCTGGCTGCTGATGGTTCACACCTGTAATCCTAGCTACTCAGGAGGCTGAGCTCTGAGGATTCTGGTTCAAAGCCAGCCTGGGCAAGAAAGTCTGTGAGACTCTTATCACTCTTATCTCCAATTAACCACCAGAAAACCAGAGGTGGTGTTGTGGATCAAGTGGTGGAGTGTTCACCTTGAGCTAAAGGGCTCAGGGACAGTGCCCAGACCCAGAGTTCAAGCCCTACAACTGACAAAAAAAAACAAAATAAAACAAAACAACAACAAAAAAGTGTAACCACTGTTCTGTTTAAAGTACCAAAGATTTGAAAAAAGAAAAAAAAAATAAAGTACCAAAGAGATTAACAACAACGATAACAATAACAACAACAACAACAAAACCCTCACAGGAAGTAGCACTATAGCTTAAATGGTAGAGCCCTAGCCTTGAGCACAAAGAGGCTCAGGGACAACGACCAGGCCCAGAGTTAAAGACCCACAACTGACCAAAAAACAAAAACAAACAACAACAACAAAACCCTCTAATTTTCAAGCCTAAATCTAAATGCACATTAAGAATCAATGAACCATTTTTTTTGCTTTCATACAGTAAAATCTGGCCATAAATTCTTTAAAGATTTTTGAACAACATTCTGAAGGAGGAAAAATAACCTTTAAAGGAAGTTTTAAAAAAACCTAAAACTCATTTAAAAGTAACTTGCTGGGGGAGGGGCACACAACTATAATCCCAGCACTATGTGGGAAGATGTGAGTTCAAGGCTAGCCTGGAAAACATAGCAAGACTCTGTCTCGAAGCAAACAAATAACAAAAAAAAAAACAAACAAACAAAACCCAACCCCCACCATTAAAGGAACAGATTCTGTGTAAAGATTTTAACAAGCTACCAGTTATATATGCTGGGTAAAGCATAGTGATAATCTCTGAGATACATCTGAAAAAAAAAACCAAACCAAACCAAACCAAACCCACAAGATGGATGGAGAGAAGGGTAGAGAGAAATGTGAGAAAGCAAATATAGCAATTTCTTATAGAATCTAGTTGGGCAGTTTATGTATAATCTCTGTAAATTCTTTGGATTTTATTTGAAAACTTTCATAATAAAATAAAACACAAATGCTTTTCAAGTTAACCAGATAGGCTAACCAGATAACCAGATAGTTGACCAGATAACTGTGATTTATTTACATCACATATTACAAGAAATGGAAAGTCATGGTTTGTATTTACAGGGGATAAAACACTAGCTCAGGCTGGAAAGTATGAGAGACTCATCTCCATGCACAAATTACTCAGAAACAGCTAAAAGTGGCACTGTGGCAAGTGGCAGAGTGCTAGCCTTGAGCAAAAAGAAGCTCAGGGACAGCACCCAAAAGCCCTGAGTTCAAACTCCAAGACTGGCAAACAAACAAACAATCAAAAAAACAATACTTGCTAATACAAACATTAAGGAAAACAGAATACAGAATATCAAAACATAAAGAAGAAAGTAGTCTAATACAGGTCAAACTAGTTTTCGGAAATAATGACCTTTACTAAACAGCTACAATTTTAAAAAATTAAGGTAACAAACAATAAATTACTTTGCTATAAAGAGAAATTGTCTCTCCAAAAGAAAACCATCTTCTTTACTCCTAAGCAACTGGTATGACACTTGCCCCTTCCTTTGAGACTTAGAACACCACAAGGTCAAGGTAGTGACCAACGGACTATTTAGACAATAGTCTGCCTTAGTGGGACTAATTCTGTTTGAAAGACCTTTGCCTTCAGCTTTGGCTTGGCAACTGCCAGTGTCTCTCCATCAGTGCAGCTGGAGTGAAGCTATTTTGAACTTTCCTTTTCTATTAAAAGACTCTTTCAATTTGTCTTTTTAATGGATGATGAAAGATAGTTGACTGCCAAGCAGTTCCTTGAAAAAAATGAACAAACAAATGAACAGAAAAACTCAGTGCAATCTAATGGGCATTATTTCTACATCCTCTTTTTAGCACCATTTAATGTGTAGTTTTGAGAGTCAATAGTTCAATCTTTATTTTATTCAAAGAATATTAAAATAACAAAATGCAACTAGGGAAAAAGGCCTGGAAAATATCATTCAGCTTCTTAATTTATAACTTTTCCCTACATTTTTATAGTGGTAGTGGCTTTCCGCTTGTTCAAAAGACTAGTGCAGTTGATACAAACACTTTCTGCAAACCTTCACAAGACAATTTTGTCTATTGATGACTGCCTACATATTCTTTTCCATAAAAGAAATTACTTTAAAGAAGGGGAAATTCAACTAGGTTCTACTTACTGGCTTACTCATATAATTCCACCTATTCTGTTGGCTCAGATGTCAAGAATCACAGCCTAGGCAACAAAGTCTGGGAGACACATCTCCAATTAACAAGGCTGGAAGCATGGCTCAAGTGGTAAAGTACTATCCGAACAAGCAAGCTGAACAAGCCTGAGGCCTTGAATTCAAGTCCTGGTATCAGAAATTTAAAAAGAAACTCAAAAAGTATTAAGAAATGGGGGCAATATACATAATGCAACAACTTAGAGAAACAATGCTAATACTTTTAGAATCTTTTCTGCTGTCATACAGTTTATAGCCTTTGTTGATATTGTTCCACAAGAGTTGTGTGTTTCCCCACCCTACTAACAATGTGGCATAAGAACTCTGCCAATGCTAGCCTTGAGCTGAAGAGCTGAGGGACAGCGCCCAGGCCCAGAGTTCAGGCCCCATGACCAGACCCCCCCCCCCAAAAAAAAAGAACTCTGCCAAGCCAATAAAACCTTTTCAAAATCATCATTATGGTGATCATGTTATATTCCACAGAACAGATGTTTAATAATTATTCATTCTCCCTCTGATCATTTATATTACAACTAATACTGTGACAAATTTCAATGCCTGGACTTCAGATTATTTCCTTTTGGTAAATTATTACTTGCAATAGACTAACAAATCCATTTATTAACATTTTGAAGGGCTTAATGATGTCATTAATTAAATTTATTGCCTAGTAAAAGCAAACAAAAGTTAGAAAGCTTTTACAGAAAAAACTGATTAAGTGAAAAACATGAATCATTACTATGATAGTTTTTTCCAACAATTTATTTCTGTATTTCTTTTAACCTAGCAATTCCACTTCTAGGTAACTGTGCCACAGAAAGAGTTTCACAATACATAGATATTTCTAGGAATGTTTAATTTGCAGTGGGATATGTCCCGAGTAAAGATATATGGGAAGGAAAAACACCTTTGACTTTACACATTTCTGTATTATTTGAACAAATTATTTTAAGCACAGACTGCTTTCGTAAATAAAAATCACCAGAACTTAACAGTTTTATCCCCTTGAGTATTATTTCTATTTGGTAAAAATTATATTTCAAAACCAATTACATCTTCTGGAACTCCAGAAAAACCTTCAATTCCTACAAGGTTTGAAATGCTAAAAGCCATCATACCTAATTGTTTCGCATCTCCTCCTGCTGGACTTCCATTCTCCTGTCGTGCTACCAGTGCATTCAGAATAATTTGTGTGGCCCCAAACCTTGGCAAAGTGACGTGTGTAAGAAATGGCAAGTTGTTTTTCTTTGCAAATGCCTGACTCGTTTCTCGCCTCTTCCTGAGGAAGCCCCCTTCGGGAAACAAAACAATCCATTTTCGATTTCTGTTCCTGTAGTTATGTTCTAGGTGCTTCTTGAGAAGAAGCAGTTGCTGGTCACGATGAGATTTTCCCTAGAAGGTACACACATACAGTAAGGACAGGTAAGCTGAAAGATTAAGTAGAAATAATAGTTTCTAAAATCCAATCATAGGAAAGAACAGTGACTGCCCCCCTCTTCCACTTCTCTTTGTTACTCCGGGGCTAAAATGAGAGACATTATTAGTGCTTCAATAAATCTTTGTTTCTGAAAGGAAAGCAATTTGCTCATTCACCAACTCAGTGACAGAATGCCTACTATTTGAGAAGTATAGTCAAATTTTAGAGTCAGAGGAATCAGCAGGAAGCCCTTGGGCAGTTGACGACCTTGGGAAGGTAGTAAATCTAGGGTGTAAATTCAGTTGACGACATGCACTAGGAAAAAAAGAAGGTCAAGGTGGTCAGGGCAAGCCGCTGCAAGATGACAATGAGCAAGATGCTGCTACTGTGAGAAAGTATGAAGAGGCAGAATACTCCAGTGACAAGAACAAAAACAAGATGAAGGCCCAGAGGTGTGAACATACTTGACATGTTCAAAGAACAGTACCAAGGCCAACGAGGCTGAAGAGATGCACAGGGTAGTCAGTGGGAGAAGATGACAAAGCAGAGGGAAGTAGAGGCCAAATAAAAATGGACCTGTCAGAAGAAGTTTTAGCTGTGAAACCTCTACAGAGTTTTGAACCAGAAAGTATTGAGTCTTGTTTATTTTTATATGCATAAGCTAAAATCTCATTTGCACTGCAGTCAAAATCTGTGACAAAAAACCCTTAGGCTTTCCAAGAGAGAGTGGCCTGCAGTGGTTGACACAAGGTTCAACTATAGTGTATTCATGAGAAGTGGGTACACTCAGGCAGAACTCTGAAAGCAAAGTTAACAGGACATTCTGAGGGGTCAGATTTTTGTTATGAGGAAAAGAGTAGGAAGAGGCTGAAGATTAAATACAGGAACCCAGAAAAATGTAGAGGAAGGCCCCAAATATATAACTGAGCAGCATAAAAGTTCTTCCTTTCAGTATGATCAACTTGCTAATAATTTCTAGACAAGGCAATTCTAAAACCTTAAGCTGGGCATCAGTGGCTTATGCCTGTAATCCTCGCTACTCAGGAGGCTGAGATTTGAGGATTGAGTTTCAAAGCCAGCCTGGGAAGGAAAAGTCTGTAAGATTCTTATCTCCAATAAACCACCAGAAAACTGGAAGTGGCACTGTGGCTCAAGTGGTAGAGCGCTCGCCGTAAGCTGAAGAGCTGAGGGACAGCACCCAGGCCAGAGTTCAAGCCCCAAGACCACTAAATAAATAAATAAATAAATAAAACCTTCTTAAAACAATCAGTGCATGTTCAGTCTTTAGTATCCCAAATATAAAACAACAAAGATATTTTATTAGCTGGTTAGCTGGCTTACTGAATTGAACTCATAATTTTTAAGTTACCAAAATACTTTTATTTTTACTATTCTTGGAGGGCTTGTAAAAAATGACCTATTAGCAAAGTCCTAAGAGATTAAAAGAAGTTTTCAATTCCAATAGCTTATTATAGAATTAATTCCTTAATTAATTTGTATTGAGGACTAAACTCCACTAAACTACATTCCCAGCCCTACTTTCTTACTTTTTGTTTGAGAGAGAGAGAGAGAGAGAGAGAGAGAGTATATGTGTGTCCTGAGCTTAAATTCAGGGATACTCTGGGTATTATCCCTGAGCTTTTTTGCTCAAAGTTGATGCGTTGCCACTTGAGCCACAGCTCTACTCTTGGCTTTTTTGTGGATAATTGGAAATAGACTTAGTGACTTTCCTGCCCAGACTGGCTTTGAACCATAATATTCAGACCTCAGCTTCCTGAGTAGCTGGGATAACGTATGAGCACTGGCACCAAGTCTGTTTTAGATTTGTATAATTAATCTATTAGAGGAAAAATGTTGGTCTTCAGAGAAAGGAAAAATGTTGGTCTTCAAAGGTGAATTTGTAGCTCTATCAGATATACTTATGTATTTTTTTATGTATGTAAAACTTTACATTGTAATTAAGGAAAGTATTATGAAATATGTAATTTTTCATTTTTAGCACCTCTACTGATAATTTAGCCTTTTCTAGACTCTTGAGAGTTATCACAGAATCAACTGTTATAGTATACTACAAAATAATTACTTTCTCAGATCTCATGATATGAGGAGCTTAACCTCCACTTGACTTCCCCAAGTGGCTAAGCTTTGTAATGGTCGGCTCTGCTGTCTACAAAAGCAAGCAGTATGTAAAAAACAAAAAGATGTTCTGTATATGAAACTATGTGAAAAAGGAGGATGTGTTCCTTGGAAGTTTTTACTCACTTCTAGCTAATTTCTAGTTTGTAGTTTTTAGAAGAGGCTTCATTCAATGCACTAGTTATTTATGAAGTACTCATTGTACAAGATGGTAAATACATAAACACCAAATAAGTGTTGCATGACCATGCGGAGAAACGTTATTGCTTTCCTCTTGGGAGAAAATAAAGGGTGTGATACTAGCAGTATGTGTAGGAAATACTATAATGCAGAACTGACAGGCTAAGAAGTTATGCTAATTTTCCTACACTAAACTATTCCTCATGGTTGGGACCCTTCTTAATTCCCCATTATCCATTAAATCCATACTTACATTCTTTAGAATTCATGCCAAATATCATTTTCTGTAAAGGTTTTCTGGGTTCACAGAAATCTGATATACTTACTTTTCCTAGTATGAATTTACAAAACATTTTCTATTACTATTATTTATTTATATATAATGAGCTTTCTACTGGTGGTTAATATATCTTCTGTATTATATGATAAGGCTTTGTAAATAAAAAATAATGATAATATAATAACAGTGGTAATCCTGACAAAATGATAATGAAGTAGGAAGCACGATTCTTTCTGAGTGCTTCATTTGATTCTCCATAGCAGGTGTCTGCGGGAGAATTCCTATCTATTATCTATTATTTCCATGTGAAAAATGAAACTTTGGCCATTTAAGTAATGTGCGCAATTCATATAGCTAAGAAGCTGAAGAGCAGGAAATGTCACAGGTGCTTGGCAAGTGCATTATAAGGTTATTATTAGTTTTTTTGTTGTTGTTTTTGTTTTTTGTGGGGGTAGTCCTGGGGTTTGAACTCAGGGCATGGGCACTGTCCCTGAGCTTCCTTTGCTCAGAGCTAGCACTCTACCACTTGAGCCACAGAGCTACTTCCAGATTTTTCTATTTATGTGGTACTGAGGAATCAAACCCAGGGCTTCATGCATACTTGGTAAGCACTCTACCACTAAGCCACATTCCGAGCCCATGGAGCTTATTACTTATGCACCCTTAAATTCATGTTGGAATAAATGCTTAGGAGACAAAGATCTAAAGGAAGAGCTCCCCAATATACCAGAACTGGTTCTTCTGTCTTGTTACACCTCATTTCAAAATCAGTAATCAGTTTGACCAGGCTATCACTAAAGATAAAAATGCTAATCACTTACTTGTCTTATAAAGAAGTCTCCATGAATTAGAGAAACAATTCCAAAGTTTGTATACTTAAAAATATGATCCATCAGCCACATCATTTGAGCAACAACCTAAAATATTTAAAAAACAAGAGATAATTAAGTGTTAGACAAAGAAGCTTGACTTTGGTCTAATCCATGTCGTTAAGTTTTAAATATAACTATCCAGACATATTCTTTTTTTTTTTTTTTTTTGCTGGTCCTACAGCTTGAAGTTTGGACCTAGGCACAGTGTCTGAGCTTCTTTTGCTCAAGGCTACCTCTCTACCACTTAGCACAGTGCTACTTCTAGCTCTTTCTGAGATTATTGGAGATAAGAGTCTCACAGATTTTCCTGCCTGTGATGGCTTCGAACTACTATCCTCAGATCTCAGCCTCCTGAGTAACTAGGATTATAGGTGTGAGTCATCAGTGCCTAGTTCAGACATATTCTTAATGACTAAATATGTTAAATCTAATAAACATACATATCACTATACAACAAGCAAAGATAAATTAACCTCTTAACTAAAGACTTAAGATTTCAAATTTATTCTACCTAAACAAAGTTTATTACAATTCTTATAATTTACAAAATTATATTGAATTGATATGAATAAATGGTTAAAGTTAACAAAAGAAGGTTATACGTTTAATTAATAAACACTAAAACTTTATAAAATGTAAGTGCACCTTAACGGATAAGAGATGAAAAGTTACTGTTCAAAATAAGAAAACATTTATAAAATAATTTAATAGGATGATTCATGCATTCTATTATATTATGAGAAATAGTTATTAGTGTGTGGAAAATCATACTTATTGCTGACATATTTAAAATGTCTCAGGCCTTACATACATTGCATTGCTGACAAGGTTCTCTTTGTGAGAGCAGAAGACTTCCTTTCAAGCAAATTTAAAAATTAAAAATATAAACAGGATTTAATTAATGAACTGGTTAACTATCATTTCCTGCTGAGGAAATAGCATTCCTTGTTATAAGCCTTAAAGTAAAAGCTATAACTTCATTGAAGAATACAATGAGTGGGGAGGCCAAAATAGAATTTATTACATTTGACAATGAAGTTGTTCCTGAAGTCTCTGCAATTCAAAATGCTGTGGAATATTTTTAAACTATTCTACAAATTAGCAATAACCTTCCCTTTGTAAATGAACTTATGGAGAAATCAATGAATCCAAATAAGCATTCGCACTTGCAAATATAACCTAACATTGCTCTACGCTTATTAAGAAGTAGAGATTATAATACTTTTGCCCTTATATTTCTCAATTTCTATGTTATGAAATAAGATTTTAAAAATTCTAGGTTTAAAATTATTTAGTAATTTCAGGGTATTATCAAAACTGATTGGTAATGCCAGGTGCTGGTGGCTCACACCTGTAATCCTAGTTATTCAGGAGGCTGACATCTGAGGATTACAGATTGAAGCCAGCCCAAGCAGTAAAGTCTGTGAAACTCTTATCTCCAATAACTAACAAAAAAAGCTGGAAGGGACTGGGAAGGTGGTTCGGTGGTAGAGCACTTGCCTTGCATGCAGGAGGCCCTGGGTTCGATTCCTTAGCACCACATAAGCAAAAAGAAAAAAGGCGAATGTGGCACTGTGGCTCAAGTGGTAGAGTGCTAGCCTTGAGGTGAAGAGCTGAGGGACACTGCCCAGGCCGAGTTCAGGCCCCACGACTGGACGCGCCCCCCCCCAAAAAAAAGCTGGAAGTGGATCTGTGGCTGAAGCAGTAGAGCACTAGCCTTAAGCAAAAAAAAATTCAGGGATAGTGCCCAGGCCCTGAGTTCAATCTACACACACACACACACACACACACACACACACACACACACACACACAC